AATCCAATATTAATAACTGCTCTTTCTTGAAAAGTACTTTTAAAAAGGACGCAATTTTAATTTATAACTTCTGTTTTATACTATTTTGTTGAGTAGAGAAAATATTATTCTCAGATGTTTTTTATTCCCATTGAATTTTTCGAAAAGATATAACTCTATGGAATATATATACATGGAATATCAATTTTTTCATAATATAAGAATATTTTATATTTAAAAATGCTTGGTCATATTAGCATAATTTTAAGTTTAATCTTCTTTTCATGTCACGCTAATGTAATACCTATACAAGATTCAGAAAATGTTCCTAATTTATTTAATTTACCTGGTATGTTAGCCAATAATCGAAGTGATATCACATTACTTGAAGGTGATATTGCATTACCAATACATGATAGTCGAACTGCATACACTCCGGCTCCAAGATGGCCTAATGGTATTGTACCTATTGAATTCGATGGGTCGTTTACAGCTGATCAACAAAATATAATTATTGGTGCTATGTCCACAATTAGTCAAAATACAAATGATTGTATTCGATTTGTGTGGCGTAGCAATAATCCAGCTTGGTTAAGAATTCATTCTGGCCAAGGGTATTATAAAAAATAATATTGTATTTTTTTTAGAAGATAAAAATGAATACTTAAATTTAGTTGTTGGTCACATATGGGTAAAGTTGTTGGTAGTGGTAGTCAAGATCTTTCACTTCAAATACCCAGTTGTGTTCATCATTCAGTCGCATTACACGAATTATTACATGCACTTGGTTTTGCTCATGAACAGACTCGTACCGATCGTGATACATATGTTCGTGTCTACTATGAAAATATTGAAGCTGGTTAGATAAATCTATATTCATTGAATTTCTGTTGCAACATTTTCTTTTTTGTACAGGTCAAGCACATAATTTCGATAGATATGCTTCTAATCAAGTGAATTCATTTGGAGAAGCATATGATTATGGTAAGATTTTCCTACTTATAATATTTTTGTTATTGACAATAAATATTTATGATTTTTATTTAAGGTTC